TTGTGTTCTGTGTGCCAGTGCCTCATGACGTCGTGGCCAGAAGTACACCTTGCTGCCCCAGCAGCATGGAATTTTTTCCTTCACTTTTAATGGGTCTCAGTTGTGTCGTTAAAAGTTTCTGAACTTCTGCAGTCTTAACTCCTGAAAAGGCTCCAGGGGGCTTGTTGTGCCACTGCAGCACCTGGAGACAGGAGCTATATTTGCCCCTTCCCAAAACGGAGCAAACCCAGTGTTTATTCCTCTGCGAGGCTCAGACCCAGCACAGAGGTGTCTACAAGCAGTAATTGGCAATTTAGAGGTGACTTGCTGACCTGTGGGAGTTCGAATGGTTTTGCCCGTGCTGTTGAGAGCCGATGCCCATCACCCAGATCCTGGTAAGGGGCTGCCCCTGAGACTGGAGGGTGGGGAAAGACTCAGCTGGGCTGGCACCCGCCAGGTCCCATGTCCAGTGGCAGTGGACCACACCACGGTCTTGCTCTGCATCACCCAAGATGGACAGAATAGACCTGGTGACTGCATGATGTTGGCGTGACTCCTGCTGAGGTGACCCTACCACCAGCTGGTGATGGTGGTGCCAGCACCTGTCACACGCAAAGGGACATCCACGAGGCTCTAGCACAGAGTTGTTCCAGGCAGGCTGGATGGGCACCCATGAGTTCGGGTTTGTGGGATGGCCACAGGTCCTGAGCAGCCAGTGGGATCTGGCTCATGGGCTGAAATCAAAACGCCATCCTTGTGACAGCCAGTGCTACGCTTAGAACCAGAGACGATCCAATACAGTCACATTTAAAAGGGGGAAAAAAGGAAAGTCAAGAGGATTAAATATCACATATGGCACTGAGATTGTCTGGAAAGACCAGCTTAGCTTCACTCTGAGCGCTTAAGCTGATGTTAGTAAATACAAACTCTAAACAACGTTACAGAGGGAAAGTCTAAATGAAAGTCAACACGATTAGATCAATTTAAAGAAGCTGATCAGAAATAAGATAAATGTTCTTAAACTTGCTGAAGCCACATCCACATAAGGACAATAAAACGACCCTTGGCAAGTTAAATGGCAATATAAGACAAACAACGAAGACACCAGAATTTGTCCCCTTGCTCCTCTACTCTGAGGAGTAACATCTGCACTTACATATACTCCTGTCTTCAAAAGGGAGCAGGAGTTTAACAGTAGGAAATGTCTGACCTGTAGCCAGTCAAATTCAGAGTGAGTATTTAAAGAAAATAAGCTGATAGGAAAGTGAAGATATTCCATGTCTGCCTTGGCAGAAGAGGAGCTTTGGTGGATCTGCAGGCTCTTTTGCAAACGCTTGACAAAATCTGTCCTACCAATGCACAAGTGCAAGTGAGTAGCAAGACAGAGGAGATGACATTTCCAGTCAAAGTAAATCAGGTATGAAACTCAGTTTTCACTGCAGCATGTCATCTGCTGCTTAGACTCTTCTTTGCTGCCTCTGGTTTTCACCAGAAGACTAGAAGAAGTAAATATGCTGGCTTTTAAAGAGGCTGTTGGAGGTAAAGAGACGACAGACAAGTAGATCTACTATGCAGTGTGGGCAGATACTCACAAAAGCTGTCATAAATGGCAGACCTGGTTAATGTATGGACAAATTATGTCACAGGGGAGACTGAATCCAACTTTTATGCAGGAACATCACCCCTCAGAAATACTGATTCTGGAGGAGTCAACAAAATATGGGTGTTGGACATCCCCTGGTCAGCTGGGAAGGGTCTTCATCAAAGCTTGTGGGGGACAAACTGCCATAGGCCAGGGAGGAAGATCCTCACTTCAATAAGTGAGTGGCTGAGAGAGAGAAAAAGGGAGGAAGATCACCCAGGGAGCCCACTGTGCCAACAGATGTCTTGTAAAACATCTTCTCCTGAATGCTGCTGCCTTTGGTACCTGCTGCATGCGGATGAGATCAGGGAACAGGACAAGGCACCATGTAAATTTAAGCTGTACCCACAGCTTCTCAGCTGGGTGGAGGTCCAGGTCCAGTCACCCAGCCCCAGCAGGGATATGGCCTAAGCAGGGGAGGTAGAGAGAAGGATGAGAGGCACAGCTGGGACAGCAAGGAGACTTGTTAAAGATTTAAGATCTGGAACAGCACAAAGAAGATTAATAGAGAAGATAGTGTCACATCACCAGCAAGCACCACAGCCATTGGCTGTGAGTCTCCAAATTGCTCCTCACACATCAAAGGCTGGTCCACCTCCCTTGCCCCAACAGCCTTCTGCTCTCTCCAGTGGCCAGTTGGGACCCAGCTGCTGGGGCTGATCCCCACTGCACAACCCGGCTCCCATCAGCCCGTCTCACCGGCTTCCACAGCTGCAGGTGGAACCACCGTGACAGCAACAGGGAGTGCAGAGATGGGCCAGGAAGCTCCTCGCTGCAGATGCCACCAGGGCCAAGAAGGTGCCTCATGCCAGGAAGCTCTTGGAAACATTCAGGGAAGAAAAGTTCCACGTCATTAAATATACAATGACATCTGGCCAGGTTTGCCGGGGGGAAAAAGGGGAGCAGGTACAACCCTGTTTTCACCCTGTCCCTGTGCGCTTCTCCTTGCCCCTGTCCCTGCCTGTTGTTGAGGGGTGCTGGGAGAGGGGCTGTGCGGTGCAACGAGTGTTGGATGAGCAGCAGGGACAGGCTTGATGGGAGGGCTGAGGGATCACAGGGGGCTGTGGTGGGGACCCCCCGCCTGCTCTGTGTGGAGGAGACTCACTCCCAGAAGAGGTCTGAAGTTGCAGCCTGTGTACATCCTGTGCCGGGGCATGGGGAGAAAACAGACGAGCAAAAGGTGTGGAAAATGCTGGTGGCAAAGAGAAATGATCTCACCACCGTCTGGCAGGGTGATGCCTGCACATGGCAGGAAGGAAATATTTGGCTGGAACACGATGTGGAGACACCAGGACTCCCTGTCACACAGAGCCCTTGGTGAAGGGTGTTGCTGGCAGCAGGATGTTTTCGTTTGAATCAATACATGTACCGAAAACAAGCCTAGAGGCAAAGCTGCGTGTGGGCCAGGTGCTCTGGGGAGTGCAGGAAATGCTGAACTGCTCCAGTCCAAACAGCCAGGGAGAATTCCTGGCTCCTTCCAAAGAGGGTGGAGGTGACACTGGGTTGGGAAGTCCCAGTGAGGTCCCTGCTCTGCTGCTGACCAGTGGCCAGCTCTCATGATCCTCAAGATCAGGAGGGGCAGTTTCCCAAATGCATTTTCCCAGCACCTGGGAATGTCCCGAGGCACTTGGCTGCTGGGACACCTTCCTGGGGTCCCTGCTACCGTCACGTAGCAGCAGAGCAGATCCTGGGCTGAGATGAACACGTGGGTGACCAGCCAGGCCGGCCGGGGATGGGCAGGATGGAAAGGCCAGCCGAGAGGATTTTGGAGGAACTTCCTTTTCCAGGAGAGGCACAAGCTGCTTCATTCCCTGCCAGACCTCAGTGCCTGCAAGCACTGACTGAGCCCTTGGAGATGAGCATGCACAAGGTGCTGGGGCTTTTCTGGGGACACAGTTTACCCTGGGAGGGTTGTGGTTTCTCCCAGATGGATTTGGGGAGCTGAACAGGGCAGGAAGGGAAGGATGGAGTGGGATTTCAGAAATATAAATTCAAAGCAAGACAGTCTCTGGAGGCAGATGTACACCACCAGCACCAGATAATCTGACTCTGGAGTCGCTTTCTCTGCGCGGTGCCCAGGGGCAGAGACCACACACAGCCCTGCACCAGCTCTCCGTGTTTGGGTCTGGAGGATTCAGACACCAACCTTCCACCAGCCCTGCAGCACCACGGGGCGGAGATGCCCCAAAGCTGAGCCTTGCCCCTGCCTGAGCTGGTGGACGAGCAGGGCTCCAGGCAGCGGGGGGCTGCAATCGCAGAGGGTGAGCGGAGGGAAGGAGAGTTGGATGGCAGCAGTGGTCGCAGTCCTCCAAACTCCAACCTCAATCTCTGTGGCCGAGTCCCATGGCCCTTCTCCATCCATCCCCTCATGCCCACGGGATTTCCAGCCTCACTGCACCCCTTCTGTCATCTCTGCCTGGCTGTGGTCCTGCCCCATGGGAGGCACCCAGGAGGGACAATCCTGGTGGGCTCTGAAAATACCCTTACTTGTGTGAGTTCAGCCCAGGATCACCCCTGGCTGTTCACCACCCACAGACCCTGGGAGAACAACAGAGGGACCACGTGCCTGAGCACCCCGGGTTCGCCTCAGGCAGCTACATGAAGCTCCAAGGGTGAGTTTCTGTTTATTCAGCAAAAAGGAGGGACTGCACGCTGGACGAGTAGGAGACGTGTTAGAGCCTTGACCACTGAGTTGGGAAGAGGGATGGCAGAGCAGCAGCCTGGGGCTTCAGAGAGTGGGTCTTGCATTGCTCGGCAGGAGCATCCACCAGCCAGCCCGCGCCTTCTAGAAAACATCCAGTAGAGGTGGGCTGAGTATTTGAGGAGAGGAGGCCAACGGAGAGGGCCCAGCAGGGCTCTCCACCAGGATCAGTGCTTTCACTTCCAGTTCTCCCCTGCACTGTACGGTGAGACACCTCCAGCAATGGATTTCTAGGTAACCCCTACAACTGACTGTGTGCCAGAGTGGTAGGAAATCACATGCCAGGGTGAACCAACAACAACCATGTTTTGCATGGTGAGACACCAATCCAATCTCTGGCCAGTTTTGCTGGTCCACAACCCCAAGGCCCCCTTGGCAAGAGCCAGTGTCCTGGCCCTTGCTGCTGGATGAGCTCTGCAGCCGTTTCTCCACTGAACCAGTGGTTTTGGTGGAAGTGCCCTTGCTCACCGCCAGGCAGCTGCACCCAGGGCGTCCCTGCTGCAGAGCAGCTCCAAAGGGAACAGTCCTACCTGGGTGTGAGCTCCAGCACAGCTTCAAACAACTTGGCCCCCATAGTAACTCAGGGAGTTGATGGTGGCCCTTGACCAAGGCGGGGGGGGGGGGGGCAGTTTCCAGCTGAGGACATTGCAAACACCACATTGCACTGCAGCAACTCACCTATGCTTCATCGAGGCTGCATTCCTCTGTGAAAATAAAGAGAAAGGCTGAGTTCAGGGCTGTGGTCTGACTAGTCCCATTTAGCACCCAAAATAGACAACCCAGGAATGAACTTGAGCAAGGGTAAAAGCCATGACGTGCCAGCTCAGACCACAAAGTGGTGGCAGTGATGGGCTGAGCTGGTCCCTGCCGGCTCCACGTATCGACTGTGCCATCCCGACATGGGGTTGTGCAGTGCTCACCCTGGCTGGGCAGCATCTTGATCATCTCATCGGTGAAGCTCTTCTCCCTTGCAAGCTTCTTGAACAGCGCAGTGATTTTGGGGCTCGCCTCCCGGGTTCTGCCTAAAGGCAAAGACACGAGTTAGCTCCAGGCTGTGGCCTGTCCCTGCCTCTCCTGGGCAGCTGGCAAACATGTCCAGGTGAGGATGGGATGGATAATGGTCCCTGGGAGAAGGCTGGAGGCAGTGGTGGAGGTCCTGGAGGGCGGTGGTGGCCAGGCACAGGAGACACCCCTCCCAGGGGACAAGATGAAGCAGAGGTCCTGGCACAAGCACAGCATGTCCTCTCTTGGTTCCCATCCCCACTGTTTCTGCCCCCTTGCAGCAGGACCCCCACTCTTCGCCCTGTTTCACCAAGAGACTTACCCAAGGCCACGGACTCCTGCCACAGTGCAGAAGCCTGAGCCCCAGCCTCCTCTGCCAGCCCCAAATCGCTGTCCCTTCCCTGGCCCCACTCCTGCACCCGGCAAGAGGTCCCAGCAGGAGGGCAGTGGTGAGGAGGGGGTCTCGCCTGCAGGCCCCCTGACTCCTGGCCTCTCAGGACACTGCAAAGCACCCCAACACCTCCGAGCTGTCCACCCCAGTCAGACCGCCACTGGCTACGCACTGTAGAGCTTCAGCATGTGGAAGGTCTTCCCATCCTTCACTCTGGAGGCAAAGATAACTGCGTACGTCCTGCCGTCGGTATCCACCACCTGCGCCGTTTTATTGCCTCTGTCTGCAAAAGGATGTGGAGGAAAGAGAAAAATTAATTACCTCCTCCTGAGAACTCTCACTCTGCAAAAGGACTGTAAGAGTGGTGAATCAGGATGCCAGGGCCAGGTCTGCCCAGCATGTCTGTCTTCTGTGTCTCCCCCTCCTGTTTTTTTCTCTTGCTAAGGCTCCTCTGAAAGCCTGGGGGAGCCCACAGATCACAGCAGAGCAGAGGGACAAGAACATGAGCACAGAAGGGGCTGGAGATGGTCACTGCAGACAGCAGAGTAGCTTGGTCAGTGTCAGGGGCTGGGGACAGTGGAAAACCACTCTTGCTTCATCCCTTGGAAACATCCATCCACAGCCCCATTGCAGAATGAACCTGCTTTTCCCCAGGGTTTAAGCTTGATCTGAACACACCTGTATTATCCCAGAGCAGCTTCCCACAGGGAAGGAGCAGGGGGTCCACCATGCTGGAGGGTCACCAGCCTTGGGCTGGCATGGACCAGCCTTGGGCTGCAGCTGGTGACCGGCTGCAGAGGACTGTCCCACCCCAGGACCTCAGGAGAGGCAGACAGGCACCCCCGAGGGCCACATCCTCAGAGACAACCAGCTGCTTCAGACAGGGAGAACGGGAAGTGCCTCTGCCCCATCCTGGGGGCCGGGCTCCCCCCCACTCACCAGAGCTGTAGTATTCACCCGGGACACCTGATGGCTTGTAGATTGACTCCAATTTCTTACATCCCTCCGGGCTGCAAAACAGTGAAGGATGCTGCAGTTGGGGTGAAGTGACTCCCCCTTCCCAGCCCCTGGGGATGCTGGCTCCAGGGTCACTACCCCAAACGTGGGACTTGCTGTTTAGGAATGAGATGGGTGACCAGGACAGATGCCACCCTTGGCGCAACGGGTGCCTGGGTTGGCAGGGCACAGTGCTGGCACCCGAGGATCACCCCATGGGTGACATGCTCTGAGCTGGTGGGATGAGGCTGGTCCTGCTGGGAAAGCTTTAATCATAGGGTCCCTTATCATCCTGCTGCATCCCTGTTGGGAGCAGCGCGGTGCCTCAGCCGCCATGGTGGGACCGCTCCTGGCTGATGCTGCCCTGAGCCTGCCTGGCCTGCCCTGAAGAAGGAGTCCCCAATGATGCAGCTCTCCCAAGTCCCTGTTTCAAACCACAGGGCTGGTGGCCCTGCCTCATGCCCTGCCCAGGTCTTTGGTGGGTGCTGGGTGGAGGCACCCACGTGGAGACCCACCAGAGGAGGTCCAAGGAGGAGGTCCGTCAGTGAAGCCTGTGGAGAGATGCGCTTGGCACTTACGTGAGAATGGCAAAAGAGACCTTCAGATCGCCCTCCCCCAGGACCGCGATGGTGGCCATTGCCATCTTCAGCTGATCCTTCTTTCGGAGGTAGCTCTCAGAGTTGGAGGCAAGAGCAATGATGTGCCATTTCCCTGCAATCTGGCAACGAGGGCGGGCTGTGAGTTCGGAGGAGCAGGCAGGGGCTGTCCCCCCCTCGGGGACCACGCCATGGGAAACTCACGTCCCCTCCGGGCACCCTGCTGAGGCACCTATGCGGGAGCTGGGTGACTGCCCTCACCCGGGTGTGACAGCGGAGCAGGCAGTGGCTGTGGGGTCCCCAGCTGTCCCCAGTACCAAAACACCTCTCCAGCCCCCGCCCTGGTGACCGGAGGCCACACTCCCACCTTCCCTTCCCCAGAATGCTGCAGATCACCTTGCTCTTGTCCAGCCCTGCAGCCCCGAGGTCCTCAGCCTCCACACGCAGCAGGCAGAGCAGGGCCAGCCCCAGGCTCAGCACCACGGGCGTCATCTCGCTGCAGCCTCCTCTGGCTTCGCAAGCAGGATGGAGAGCGGTGCCAGGGCTGCCGGCTTTATAGGGCTGTGCTCTGCCCCCCTCTGCCCCCCGCTGCCCTCCCCGGCACTGCTGCGTGCCGAGCTGCACGGATAACGCTGCCGGCGTTGGTTTTGGGAAGGTGGTGGTTTTGTAGGGCTGAAATCACCCCAGGGGTAAACAATGTCCGGTCTCACGGAAGAAGGAAAGTGCCCGGGGAAGGGGTTGAGAAGCGGAGTTGCAGGAGCTGTTGCATCAGTGCTGAAATTTAGGATTTTCCCAGTTTCTTTAGTTGTTGTGAAAGAACAGAAAGAGCTTTTGTTTCCTGACTGACTGCTGGAGGGCTGCCAGGAGGAGTGGGGACGTCCTTCCCGGCATGGGCCACGGCAGC